AATTCATCGTCTTTCTAAATTTTAACGCGTCTTAGGGCCGTAGTGCGGTAGTGACACTTTTCCGGACATGGGTCCCTATACTCAAATGTTTTCTACTGTTGCACTGAATAACCCCTAGAAGTTTGATCCCATAGTTCTGAAACACCCTGTATATATATATACATATATTAGCAAACATACAAACAAATCAATCTTGTTCAGTTATATAATTCAGAGATATTGCTGGCATGCAACGATATCGCTCGTTAAATACCTAAACAAAAGCGCATTTTGTTTTCTCGCCTAATTTTGCACGTAACTCAGTGCCAAAAACAAAATAAATACAAGCTGAAAAATGAAAACATTTCTCTGCACTTGCTAAGTAAGGAATTCTGGTACGTATTTAAAAACCCGTTGTTTTTTTAAACGTTATTTAGAAGAAGACCCAGTCGGATCGCGCGTTTCAGAACAGGCAGTTAAAACTGGCGGTACCATCCGATCGGAAGAGTTTTATTGTATTAGGGTCAACACGCACGACGTCGGGCCGGGATCGGGCTGACACGTGGACCGGAAACGACGACCTCTCCCTCACTTTGGCAAGGTGAATTCGTCAATAAAAGCTCCATCGTGCGTCTGCGCGTCTCGCAAAAAGTTACGCAAGCCGACCGGCTGCGAGCGGCTTTTGTGAATTGCCGCGCGCGGCTCTAGGCTAATTTTAGCAATGTGAAAGTCGGCACTGCGATCCCACGCCGCAAAACTAAATCTCCGCCAATCGGCTCGGGCTCTCGAGTTCGCCTAGTCACGCCGGGACTTAAATCATTAGCCCCACGTCGTGTGACAGCGTCCGTTTAGTTTTTATACGCGTCCGGGACATTGACGTCACTCGCTGTCATGTAATATCAGCTGATGCGAGCCGAGTCGGATCGCATGATATAAAAATATAATGTGCAATCCTGTTTGTATTCACGCTTCACGTCTGGCATAAAACGTGGCCGTTTTGATCTCTGTTAGAGATATAACTACAAGTGACGGGCGGATAAGATTTTTTGTGGTTTGAAAATTAATTTATTTATAAAGATTAGAAAGCCTGACGCAACATGTATTACTCTACGAATCAGAGTGGCTGAAGGGGATTGAGAAAGTAAACGTGGAAAGGACGATAATAAAATACCGCCGGCGCGTTCGGAAATAGCAACCGACTGAAAATTGCGCAACTCCGCGCTCGGACAACGCGATCATACTGGGGTCAAGAGTTAATCGAGTATTTAGCAGGGAATGCGGACCGCGCGAGGCCAGACGCGAGACGAGGCGCTGAACGCCCGCCGCTCTGGTACCTCGTGAGACGATTAAAGGTAGACACACAATGCGCATGTGTGTCAGCCGGGACAAGAACCTCGAGAGTCGCGTGACTCGTAATTGGCGGTGTGAACTAACAGCTGATCTCGCGCTGATCGCAAGCGCAAGTCGTTGCGTAGTCAAACACGTGGTGTACGCGTCGTTGCACTCGTCGTGTCGACTCGACATTCACCCTGTAAACATAAAAATATAAATCTTTTCTAGTCGTTCTTTTTTTGCATATAAATAAGATTGAGGAAAAAGTAGTATTTTAAATGTGTGACGTGTTAAGAGAAGTGTAGGTAATTAATCTCGACTGTTGATCGGCGTTTTTAAGTCTCTTATCATATCGTAGTTACAAGTGTAACATTTTATATCACTTATTATTATATACCAGTTGAAATATATCTGTAGAAAGAATTTTATGAACATCAACTACATTTGACTAATGGTACGATTTCAATTAAATTGCTTTGTTCGGAACGCCATTTGCTCGGGAGCTCATTACTCCCGAACGACTTTATTCCATGAGAGGTACTCTAATTATCCCGCGCAATTCTTTCTGAAATTCCCCGTGACCTCGAAAGATGTATATATACGTGTGCACCGATTTCGCTCACGCCGCTTCCACGTGTACCGATGACTCGGTATACGTGCGTGCGTGCGTGCGTGCGTGTATGTATTTGTGCGCGTGTGTGTGTATGTGTGTCTGCGCGCTTTCGCAACGCGATATTTCGCGAAAACCAGTCGGCCGACCACATGGTTCAATTCCCACGCATTTCTCTTGTGTTCTCCCCCCGCCTCCACTCCCTTCGGTCTCAGCTTTTTTTTGTTCCCCCTTCCGTCTCTCTCTTCGTCTTCATCTCGCTCGCCTTCGTCGCCGGTCCTGTCCCTTCTTTCTTGGCACAGCCACGAAGGCCAAACCCGGATCGGCGAAATTCGCGCGAAGCCCTGGCCCACTGAGAGGAAACGTCTCCGAATGGCGGCGGCTCTTTGGCAGTATTAACGAGCCCACGGTCTCCAA